TGTTCTCATTCTCCTGACTATTAAACTAGTACACACCTCTTAGACTCTACAGAGTTGACAAGGGCCACCAGCTTTACTAATTTCCAGACATAACGTATTTCAGAAGCAAAGAGTAATAGAGCAGTTAGAAGGCAGGAACCACATCTCAAAACAGTTAATGTATTAAAATGTGTAACAATCCTGTTGCTGTCAGCATCTCAAGCTTCCCAAAATACATATTAACGGAGCTATAAAAGTTTCTAATTAGACAATCTAACAATCCTTTATATAACTTTACATTTTTTAGATGACTATAATGTAGTGGAGCACAGGAAACGCCTTTTTTTGTTGGTGTGGGGGAAGAAACCTGTATAGTATTTCAGAGATATTTTAGTATTTTAGAGAGCAAGAGGAAAAAACAGCAGTAAATCATCCAGCACCTGCAATAACTAGATAAGAGAACAACAATTAATCCTTGGTATTAAAATATTTTGCCTTTCAGAAAAAAGCATGAGAACAACTTTGATAACCAAAATTAAGGAAGTTTACCACATGCCAAAACAAGTTTACCACAAAATATCATCTGAATCCAATTACTTCTCATGTCATATAACATTGCCCAGGGCAGGAACAAGGCTCCCTTTCTGATGTTGTCTCAGTTTTTCCTTTCAGCACGCATAAATGAATATTTTCAAAACCTCTCTACTTTACTTTTCTTTTCTAGCTTTTCCACAATCCCTTCCCTCAAATCAAAACCTCTCACAAGCAGGAATGTGGATCCCTATGCAGGAAACAGATGTTGATTGACTGTAGATTTGTTCTTCTTAATTATCTCTCATACATGTTTAAAAGCAGTCCTGCTCCTATGGCTCCATGGACCACAGGTGGGAACCTCCCCTGTACATTTTCTCTGAGGAGTTTTCTATCTTCTGGTTGGACCCATTTGTAATTTCTGGTTTACCAAATTTTCCAGATAGGTCTTCATTTTTCCTCCCAATCCTCCCAGAACATGAGACCAGAAGAGCTTTAGGCATCAGTCCAAGATTTCTAGAGGCCCCACAGCCTGGTCAGCATGCCAACAATCTGTGTGCACACAGTAAGGACATCTGATGCACTTGGAATGTGTGGAACTCACTGCATAGGCAATATGGAACACATATGCACATATTTCCACCCTAAATCCTACATAATGCACCCCTGATATTTTCCTCACTTTTTTTCCTGCATTCTGGGATCTGACAGATCCCAGCATTCATTATAAATTCATTCCCTCTGATACACCAAACATTTTCCTGTGACATTTGCTTTCAAAGGTATTTTGATGTCTGCTTATACCTTTTACATGTTTCCAGCTTCCATAACCACGTTAGTCTGGAAATAGAATGAGGTGACAGTGCTGTGAATTACGGTTTCTGTACACCTCGATTTTGTTCAGGCTGGTAAATGCAGTTGCCACATGGCCATTTCTGACATTCCCACTGACTTATAATTTGGACAAGTGTGGAAAGGTAATTAAGCAATAGAGATTTTTCGGGTTTCCAGATTTATTTTTTCACAATAAATAATCCCATCCTTTTTTGGATAGTGTTTTAGCCTTGCTTAATGGATGGTTGAATGATCACTCTAAAGAACTCTTTTGTTAACAAAATCCAAATCATCTAAAATACTATATAAGTCATCTGATGCCATTTATCGAATATACTGTTGCTTTAATTAAGGCAAGTGGTAAAGACAGGTAAGATACATGCTCATTTGATAGCACTGATAACTATACAAGCTGCAACTTGATACAAACAGGTCTTAATTATGTTATTTTCTTGATAGGCTACAAGATGCCCCAGAATGAATCATATTGGAGACTGCCACATGCTTTCTTAAAAAACTATGATGAAAAAGAGTTTTTACTACTTGCTTTACCTACTAAAACATTTTTTCTAATCTGATGTTCCCAAAGTAAAAAAAAACCATCTAATTAACGTCTCCTTTTAAGCTGAAAGCCAGATTACTGTTTCCTTCATTTTACAACAGTAATTTTGTTTCTTTAAAAGGGCAGAAAACTTTGCCCATACATGAAAGCAGCACTGTACCTTGCCACTTACTTCAACCTTGTTTATTTAGTATTTTGAGCATAAGGGCATTTTCCATTGTGCTGGAGACTTTCTAGTTCGGTAATTTTATTAACGTTTCCATGATATCAAGCATTTTACATTTTCACCGTTACTTAGTTTCACCTGAAGCTTCTTCAGGTTACTTTTATTTGCAGGTTTTACTTCTTTGATAGAGTATTGGGATCTGATGATCACAAAGAAACAGATTCTGTTTTTAAATTACGGTGCTGAAAATGCAGAAAACATCCACAGGCTACAATGTATTTAGTATGGAATAGAGTGATCTTGGCTTCTACAACACCATTTTCCCAATTTACATTCATTTGGTAAGTTAGTTGTAACGATGTAGCAGATATATATGAAACTTTATTAACAAGTAGGGTTTACATTATAAACATTCACAGTTCAGGAAACTAAACTTTATTCCCCATAAAACCGTATCATGGGCTTTTTACTATGCTTTTAATATGCAGAAAGCAAAAGCTATTTCTGTTTTTAGCAATAGTATTTTCCTGACTCCTCCTGTACCTCCTTAAAACATAATCTTATATATGTGATGAACAACTACCAGTTCTGCAAAGAAATAAATGAAAAGTAGAATAATTCATTAGTATGAAGGGACAAACTAAATAAAGGAAAAAATGTCACTGAAAAACTACCCCTAAAATAATGAAATATGCTTATATATTGTTTTGTGTAATACACAGTTCTTTCTAAACATTCTATATTTAGTTTAATATTACCCCGAAGTTATTTTGAATACACTGCTAATAATTAAATTATATATGAAACTAAGATAAGGTAGAGAGTATTAGATACAAGATACAGAAAAAAAACATTTAAAATCAAGACAAAGTCTTGATTTACCTAGCAACTATTAAACACTGTTCAGCATGTTGCAGAAGAGTACGGATAACAATGCATTCCTAATAAAGTCAAAGAAAAATATTTCTCACCATGACAAAATTGGAAGAGAATAGACTAAAGCTGGCATGACATTGTTTTAGCCTTATTTTATTGATACTTACTAATTAAAAGTTATATATTATCTAAAAAGGCATAAGAAAATAGCTATGGAAAAAAGCAGCTGTACTAAATAACCTGTCATTTTTTTTCATAATGTGCTATATCTAATCACCTTTATTCTAAATTATTATTTCCAACTGAAGTGCAGTTAAATGAGAATTTTATATAATTTATGAGTTATTACTAAAAGCAATACACTAGAACTCCCAAGAATTGTGTAATATTAAGAGATGTTAAAATTATATTTCTTGCACAGAGATTTAAGAGAGAGCTTTAAGAGTTGTGTTTTTCGCCAAAAATATTAGCATTCAAGTTAAACTGTCACTAGCATGCTTAGCTCACAAGATGGTCTTTTTAAGTGCACATAATGTTAGAAGCAAAACACAAGTCTGGACTCATGAAACTGCATGAATGTCACCACTATCATTTTGTTACTCACTTCTTCCCTTTACCTTAAAGCTAAACATAGGCCACCTCCATGTCCCCTTAACTCTTTTCTCTTCTATTCAGTCACATGCTCCTCTAATTCTTCAGTCAGCCTACAAATCTCAACTTGGAACTTTCCAGTTTTCATTTCTGTATTTTTTATTTTGCTGCCCAAACTGTTTTGAGTGCCCCTCAGCACTCACATGGCATGCCAGGTACTACGTAACCATTCACAACCCCTCCTGGGGAATTCACTGGTGTGATACAAGAAATAAAAGCCTCAGGAATAATAAACTACTAGCAAATCAGATTTCTCTGAAGTAGCATCATCCTCTAAAGTTCCGTAGGGACTCCTCATCTGTGTTTTAGTATAGACTACAGATCCCTCAGGGCAAGAACCAAGTTATTTATGACATAATTAAGCAAACAACAGCATTATACTAACTCATTCTTCAAAGAGATATCCTGAGATAATGGTACATATCACTCACCTAAATCTCCAAACAATATGCTATCTATCAAAAACAGGCAATTGTCAGTTGAGGTAACTTCCCAGTACCACACACTCAGTGCAGGTCACTCAGTAATCTGGTGCACTCAAATCAGTGTTTTCCACTATCAAAAGGCAATTTAAGCATCTAATTAACAGGTGTTTAAGGCAATTCTTTTGGTGTTTTCTTTAAACACTTCTGGCAACTGTTTTAACCCACTACAGGGTGCAGCAAGCACAGACTTAGTAGTTAGCAGCCCAGTTTGCATGGTGGCAGAAGCGAAGCACGCCCTAAGAGTCTGCTTCAGACAGAATGGGATTGTGCCACTACCATGCAGGAGGCAGGGGCACTACAAGGCTCCATCCCCAGCACTCACTGGAGAAGATACCCTGGGATGGCTCCGTCTCAGCTGAGGCAGAGTTCCAGAGGGAGCGTGCTGCCATGCAAGACTCAGTCTGCAGGATGACACTGGCATCACAGTGGGAGATACACTCTGGCTGGGGCACTGAGACACCAGCAAAAGGAGCAGTGAGAGAAGATGAACAGACTGGGAAGGTTTCATCACTGCAATATTAGAAAGATATTAAGCTATTAGAGAGCCTCCGAAGGAAGACAACGAAGAACCTAGAATTCCCTAGAAGAATGCCACTTCAACAGCCACAGCTCTTTCCCTTTTGAAGGTTTATAAGATTACAAGATTTCTGAGCCATATCAAGAACACACACAAACCAATGCAAAGGATATTTCTGTTTTAAAAATAAAACCAACAATACATTTAAAATGTCCAGCTCGTATTGAAAAATAAAAGCACAGTCCTAAGAAAGTTTCAGTCTGAAGTAATCTTTTATGGATTGGATAATGCTCCATCTGCTGCTACTTCAGGAAAAAAAAACTAGACAGTCAGCTGAATCTCGTATCTATTGTAAGGCCACCATCCTTTACAAAACTGGCAGGCAACAGGACAGCTTACCAATGGCTTTTGTGTAATGTCTGGCTCCAAGTAACAGCTCTGGAGCTCTGTACCAGAATGTCACCACAACTGGATCCAAGTCTGCCAATGGCTTCAAAGGCGAGTTAAACAATCTTGCAAAACCCATATCAGCTGGGGAATGGGGAGAAAAAATAGAAAAGAATATTTATTTAAATTTTAATACAAAGAAAACAAAATTTAACAGTATTGCCAAAAACAATTATAACAAAAGCTTAAAAACATCAAAAGTTACAAATCAAAGTTTCTAACAAAGCACAATTACTCATAATAATACTGAGCCAAATTTATCTAAGACTAAATTCCATTTACTTCGTTCATAAGACTATAAAGGATAATGTTTGACTTCAGTGTTTTCACCATGGGATTGTAAAACTTCACACAACACAGACACCTGTTTATTTTTTAAAAAAACTCCAACAGAAACTTGGTTAACTAAAGTCAATAGTGGTAGGTCTCTAATGTACATTTTTTTTATAGTAATTTACAAAACTATGAGTCTTTGTGGCTGCTATGTATTTACCCAAAGTGCAAAACCAAAATGACTACAGTGTAGATTGTTTTGAACTATTTTTCAAGGCATGCCTCCTACTTGATTGGAGGAATGAACTCCAGAATCAGTCAGTATATACTGTTACAGAGGTGTATTTTAAAAGTAAGCACTGATATATAACTCAAAAATTCTCTCTAGAAAGAGTCTTGTAACAGTAAGAAATGCTCAACGGGAAAGTACAAAATTGGGCGTATCATCAAACCCACACATTTTAAATCCAATTTAAATCTTCAACTTATCTTTCATACCACTTCACTTAAATCCTTCTGCTTCCAAAGTTATGAAATGCCAAGTATAATTTTCTTGCTGTTGCCCATACAAATACAAGCATATAAATCAATAATTATTAGCTGAATGTTTTCAAACACAAGAAAATTGATGAATGAAGAGTCCAATATGAAAAACTAATGAGGATCTCTTTCTGTCTTACACTGAAGATCTGGTTTTTTAAAGTAACCCCTTAGCTATGCAATGAAATTTTCTAAAAATGTTTACCTATTTTAACTCTTCCTCTTTCAGGGCCTTCACCCATTACCAGAATGTTTGCTGGTTTCTGGAAAACAAAAAATCAGAATTTTTAGTTGATCAGCCTTTGGTGATTAACTTCAAGAAGAATAAAAATATGTACGTTCATTTAATAACTAAAACATAGAATCTTAGACTTAGAAGTCTAAGATTACCATACCTTTATGTTTTGCTTACATTTAGTTATTATCCCTAGTTACCAATTTCACAATTAGAAAAACAGAAAACTACTTTGACGTTTCACTGTAAGAAATGCAATCTTTAAATACATTTGCATTCCTATTGTTATCAGAATGATTAAGTTCAGTGGAAAGATTTTCTTCTACAGGAAGCGGTTTTATACTACACATCAATAACCTAGCAAAACCCACTTTTGCTAGTATAACTTAATGAAAGTGATGCCAAATCTTGGTATGCAAATGAGTATGCATCAATGAGTGTCAGTTTTATTATTGTCATATATAACTCAATTTTTAGAGCTGTGTTTGTTTTTAGAGTATGAAAGAAAAAAATCACATTGGCAAAAGAACTTTTTCCACAAAGTTGATTTCATGCTTGAAAATTCACTTAAAACAGGAACGTACACAGACAGCTACGTCCACAAGCTTTTGACAGTGTAGACAACAGCTTTGCAAGTAGAACAAAAGCTTTATAGACATTTTTTGCAATCCGTAGTTGTTTGCAACCAGCTGCTTGTGAACACCACATAAAATCTGCACATGACATCACAGCAATTGTTCTGCTATTAGAATCTAGGTTCCCTCAGACATCAATAATCATTCCTTGGAAACTTTTCCCCTATTGTGTTAACAGCTGTAAAAAAGTAAACAAGATTGAAAACATAAAGTGATTTGAATGAAGAGATGCATAACAAACTTTCAAAGCAGAATTTTTGGGAAGTTAGTCCCAACAATAACTGTATTTAAAATCTCTAATGCCCAGAGAGGTCCGCTCAAGCAGGATTTGTCCAAGAATATGAAAGAGATGTCCAGAAAGCCACCACCAAAATTTCACTTAAATTCTCAGTGCCTTGCCACTATTTACCTGAAATGAGACACTCAAACTAGGGTTACTAATTCTGCTCAATATTACAAACCTTTAGCTTTTTTGAAAAAGCAAACCGACCACCAACAACAACCAAAAAATCACCCTACCTCATCTATTCTTTCTCTTTCCCTGGGATGCTGTTCTCGCTTTCCACCTCACATCCAGTGCTAGACATTGCTTCTTCCCTGGCTCCAACCACAACCTCTCTTTCCAGATGCCATTGCCTCTTTTATTACTTCTTTTTTAATCTATAATTGTCAACGCCATCCCTGACTTTTCATTCCCCAACATATATTTGGAACCATTCAAGAGGCAATATGCACTCCCTTGGAGAACACAAGAGCTATTTCAATCGATCTTGAGCAAACACTCACCAGCAAATCTAGGCAAGATAAAAATTATGCTTGCTCTTAGCTAATATTTAAGGATAATAAACTCAACACCTCAAGGTGGCTGTCAAACTCCGGTTGTACATTTATGTATTACGCTGAATTGAATATTCCAGAGAACAAAACAATCTGATTCTGCATATTCAGTAATCAGGTAGCAAGGGAAGCATGCAAGTTCAAGTAAGGGAGCAAAATTCCAGTTTCCTTGTCAGAATTCTTCCTAAATTTTTGCCTAAATAGTTGAGTATGACGAGTTTGCTGGACCGATAGGCTGAGGGCAATGGTATGAGGTTCAGCAACGCAAAGTGTTGTGTCCTGCCCTTGGCCCACAACAACCCCACACAGCACTACAGGCTGGGGAAAAGAGTGGCTGGAAAGCTGCAGCTGCAGGCATTAGAACAGGCTGCCCAGGGAACTGATGGAATCACCATCCCTGGAAGCATTCAAAAAACGTGGATTTGGCACTTGAAGACATGGTTTAGTGGTAGACATGGGGGCGAGAGGTTTATGGTTGGACTTAAATCTTAGAAGTTTTTTCAACCTTAATGACTCTGTGATTCTACGAATCACAAATCACTTCAATAGACCTTTATATTCAGGACTGGATTATGCGCTATAAAAATGCATTTATTTGTCAAGTGAAGAAAGCTGATAAAAATGTAGTTACTGCACTGATTTATGGGTCAGGGTTTTTTCTAATTAGGTTGTAAGAAATAAACATTATAACATCAGGAGATTTACCAAGATAGAAATCAAAATCTAAGCATAAACAACAGGATTCTCAAAACATCTCACAAGAGTTACATTTTATCTGTGGCAATACAAGATTTTCCAAGTAGCAATTTCTTCATAGAAAGAAACTCCAACGATTTTATCTGCTGACATAATCCACAATATTCACAGAATAGCTGAGGTTGGAAAGGGCCTCTGGAGATCAAGTCCAATCCCCCTGCTTTTAGCAGGGTCAACTACACAGATTGGTCAGGCCCAAGCCCAGCTGAGTTTTAATCTTTTCCAGGGATGGAGACTCCACAGCCTCTCTCTAAAACTTCTAGTGTTTTACCACCCTCACAGTAAAAAAAGGCTAGTCACACACTACATTTATGCCCACTGCTGCCTGTCCTGCCACTGGATAGCATTGCAAAGAGTCTGGTTTGGTTTTCTTTATTCACACTTACCAGGTATGTGTATGCATTGGTAAGATCCCACACAAGCCTTCCCTTCTTGAGGCTGAACAGTCCCAGCTCTCTCAGCCTTAGAAAGGCTCCCCGAACCCCTAAATGACTTAGTGGCCCCACACATACAGGAGATACACTAGGTTAGATCTGAACTATGGAAGCAAGGGACTTGTCCATTTACGTAATTTTTAAAGCCAGAATGTTTTGAAGAGATGTTGTTCTGTTTAAAATGTAAATCTGTACTAATGTGTAATCCACCTAGGACCAGAACCCCACTTGGGCAGCCAGCAGAGAAGCAAGCTGATTTATAAACTTATCACAGTCATGTTGATTAGCTCTTGTGAACCTCTGTATCTGAGAGAGTCAGGGGAAACAGAGAAGAAATAAACTGGGAAACAACTGAAAACTTATTTCCAAAAGAACAAGCACTTCTCCTGAGGCACCACCATCAATGTGGAGATGACAGGCATTTCATGGATGGCAATCTGATGCCTGCAGGATCCCACTGATCTGCAGATCGCTGTCTCAGTAGCAGCTTGAGTTCCTCTTGTTAATCAGAGCTATTATGGCTAGGAAAGCATTTTCAATGCATGTACACTGAACCAGTCAAAGAGTAACACTGAGCTGATAGGGCTCATCTTTCTGAGATACAACACATGATATCCAGCTCCTGTGCCCATGAATTTTTATTTAATAAAAATATACAGCTTCAGAGGAGCTTAAAACGTAGGTCACATGTTTTGTGGTTGTTTTATATAATGACTTGAACACTGTAAAGTAAAACTCCTCACCTCCCCAGAGTCTTGACCATGCACATGCCGTGCTGAGAGTAACACAACCCATACGGAGCAGCAGTGCTTGGCTAAACAAGTGGCACCAAGGCAGAGTAGTAGAACTTCAGGTGCTCAGGTATGGAGCAAAGACTTTAGTTTACTTCAGAGAGATTAATCTGGCATCAGAGATCCTCAGGAAAGTATGTAATGAACGTTCCATCGTGACATCAGAGATTGGACTGCTTAAGGGGAATGCAAACAACTTCTTGGAGAAGGTAGAATGTGTTAGCCTAATCTCTGTATACATAGCATTTTAAATATCAAAACATTTTACTCCAAAATAGTAATTTAATAGTCTACTATAAAGCTACAGTCTAGTATACTGTAGTTACTGGACAGCTGCAAAAAATCAGATTCAAAAACCAGGAATTAAAAAGCCCCATATCACATGTTTGTTCTGGCTACATACAAGTCATAAGCAGCAGTCTAGTTCCTAAACAAATCCTACTGCTATCCATGTGAGGAATAAAACAGAGTTTTAGGTGGAAGAAAACATGAAGAACCAAGCAGCAGCAAGGAGACCAAAGCTCGACACATACTTAGAGTAAATCATGTCTCTATCTGATAATTTTAATAAAGAAAGTTTGAGAAGCCCTGCTTAAAATTATTAACTAACTCCTTAGAGTAAAAGGTGAGGTAACTCAACAAGGACTACACTTTCAACTAGTTACATCCCAATTAATACTCTCTCTATTTTCCTCATACTCTTCCCTTGCTGAGAACACAAACACCAGCTGGGAAGCAAAGTGATGCTGCTGCATCTCCACCTAACTAGTTGCTATAGGAACAACAGAAACAGTAAGTTATGAGTCTCACACTTAATGTAAGCTATAAAAATAAACAAATCTCTGCTGAGAAATACAGTTGAGGTTTGACTATCTATAGAACAGCTGCAAAAAGAGCAAGGTCAGCAGCAACAAACAACTGCAGCAAAAATCTGAAAATTCTGCAAAAAGGGATGATGATGATTTAATAGGTTCTTTACAAGTAATAAGCATGGATAATAGTATTTAGTTTTCTACATTGGTTGGAGAGAGGTAATAAAGCAATTGAAATCTTAAAAAAATATCTTGGTGGGAGGGAAATTAAAATATTGGGCTAAGAAGTGTGTTTCACAAATAATAGAAGTGTCATCACCGGAACTCGTACAGACACCCATGTTATCTGAATCAATATGCTTCCTATTTTAATATTTAGGCAGTAAATTAGAAGAAAGGTTGAAAGAAAAGAAACGATCTATGGTCTTAAAAGAGCATAACAGGTCAAACCAGGAATAACAGCCTAACAATAGGTTGCAATACTTTAGTTGTAATGGTTGTTATCTCTTTAAGTACAGTGGTGACACAATTCTTAAGAGATTTGGTGCAGAATTACAGTCCTGTAAGAAAACGTCCATAGGGATACACTACTTTCCATACACCATTCTTTATTGTTTATATCCAAACAAATGTGTTTCCCTTTTGGAATGTATCACTGGACAAAGAATAATCTGAAATTAGGAGGCTTCTATTGTAAAAGAGATTGCAAGTCTTCCAGATAAAAGCTTTCCCCACAATTACAGAAACTGCCTTGTGATGAGGT